TATAACTCATTAAAAGACTGAGTCAAACGTGTGTTGTGGGAGGGAGTTTGGCTTGATTTTTAGAGGAACTAGTGCTTTGTAGGGGAATTAAATATCTAATCTCTGATAATTCCTATGGATTCCCTTTTAACTCAGAATGCCACTTTTGAAAATATGGCTTACTGCAGAAAAAGCTGCGAAAGCAGAGTTGGTCTTTGCTGTTTTGGTGTGAATCGAGCTGTTTAAAGGTTTGTACAAGCTTTATATTTTGGAGCTGTGTAATGAACTGTTACAACTTGAGGACAGAATGGCTCATTTTGGAACACTTTTCAAAATACTGGAAAACCTGAGCTGGAAAAGCATCTGAAAATAGCAGAGTGTTGTACAACGTATTTGGGAGGAAGTTCTGCCATCCTAACCTAGAGATAAATTCTGGAAATTTACTTGGAAATTTCCAGAATGTTGAAAATCTCCTCATGTCTTTGGAGAATGTGAGGAGTCATGGTGAGCAGCAGAATACTCAGTGTTATCTGTTTTCCACACAGTTGTTAGGCTGAAGACAGATCACAGTGTTCCTGTAAAAATGCTTTTCATTTCAATAAGCTTGTTTAAATTGAGGCTGTTTAAACTTTGAATCTAAACAAGCTTGTATTTTGATTTAAAATAAGCTTTTAAAAAAGGTAGCCTAGAACATAGGTCAGGCAGGTCAGACTCTTTATTAACAGTTTCAGTAGGCTCTCCACCTTGCTGGTGTTTCTCTTTTAGTTCCATTCTGATGGTTGTTTACTCTTGAGATGACTGAAGAGCCTGTACTTGAGGTTTTTATCCTGTAAGGTTTTATCCAGACTTCAGGTTTTATCCTGACAGGGTAACAAGCAGCAGCACTGTCTTTGCTTTCAAAATAAGAAAGTCCAGAGGAGGCCACAAAGTTGCTAAGAGGACTGGAGCATCTCCCCCATGAGGACAGGCTGGGGGATTTGGGGCTGGTTCAACCTAGAGAAGAGAAGGTTGCGTGGAGACCTCACAGCAGCCTGTCAGTATCTGAAGGGGCTACTGGAGAGGGACTCTTGGTTAGGAGCTGCAGTGATAGAACAAGTGGTAATGGATTCAAATTGAAGGAGGGGAAATTTAGGCTAGATCTTAGGCACAAGTTTTCCCTGTGAGGGTGGTGAGACACTGGCACAGGTTGCCCAGGGAGGCTGTGGCTGTCCCAACCCTGGCAGTGTTCAGAGCCAAGTTGGATAAAACCTTGAGCAACCTGCTCTGGTGGGAGGTGTTCCTGCCCAGGGCAGAGGAGTGAGACCGGATGATCTCTAAGGTCCACTCCAACCCCTAAAATTATATGATTTGGCAAATGGATAAGGACTCTACAATCCAACCTTTTTTGGCTAAAACTTGCCTTGCTTCTTGATAGACTTTTAGGTGTGGCATTGAGTCTTAATTTGGGTAATGCTGTTCTGAACCTTCATAAAAGGAATTTGGTTCAGTCCTGGCTAGATTGTGCCTTGAAGAGCCAAAAGGTTTTACAGTGTGTGACTTTGAGGAAGCTGGGATGGAAATATGGTTGGTCATGTGTTGTGTGAGTTTCCTCTGAAGTGGCAGATGGATACCATCGCTCCCAAAAGGTCAGTGTGGGTTATGGTATTCTAGTGGGGCACTCTTGATGTGATCACAAATGCAGCTTCCCTTCTTTGCTCTTGTGTTGTGTGCTTTCAGCTGAGTAATGAAGCACATTTGTAAACAAATATTTTGTAATGTGTCTGAAGAGGTGGGCAGGAAGGGAACTGGGAAGCCACAGCTGACATTTTTCTTGGAGCATGAGATCCTCAGATGCCCCTTGCTGGAGTGATGGATAATCTGCCTCATTCTCTGCTGTAAAACCAGATTTCAGTTCGTGGCTTCCCCTCAAACACTAAAACAAGGCTTCTCCACATTGACAGTTTGGTGTTATCCTCTCTGCTGTGCTTCATCCTGAGGGGAAAAAGGCATTCCTCAAAACAGGAGTGGTGTGATACAGTGACATCCTGCTGTAATGTGAGTGGTGCAGAATCTCCTCATAGCATAGCTTCCATGGAGAGCTGGGGCTGGACAGCTTTGTGGAAGGTGGGGCAGGCCATGGTTGTTCCAGAGGGTGTGAAAGGGAACCGATGACAGTGGAACAACGTGAAGGGCAAAATGGCTATAATCATAAGCTGCACTGAGACAAGTGGACTCAAAGGCCTTGAGGAGGGGTGAGGTGCAGGATGTGGGTGCTCTGTGCTGCTGGGTTTGTTCTGGTCTGCTGCCTGGTTTTGGTAGTTCATTGCCTGATTGCTTTGCCCAGTAGAAGTCAAGGAAATCAAGGACAGTGTGATTGCTCTGTGCTGTTACTTCCTGCCTTGAACACTTTGAGATTTATTTTAAAATGTATCATCATTCAGAGAATGAGAAATGGTTGTACAGTGATACTAAACTCTTGGAAGAAAACCACAAAGACATGAAAAATAGCTCAAATTACTGACACACAGCTGTTCCTCCTTCCCAGTTGTTGGGTAATTGACTTGTCCAGAGCTTTGGCTTAAACCTGGAGGCATTTGGTCCTGCCATTCTCACTGGGCAGTGAATGTCAGACCAGACCAAGGCAGCACCTTCTACAAACCCATAGGGAATGGTTGTTCAGTAGTAATCTCTTGCCCATCTTCCAGACCTGCTGGTCTGAATTCTAACCCCCAAGTCCAAGTGTGACTCCCTCTAAAGTCAGTATTTGTTTTTTTCCTTTAATTAACTATTTATCCTGTGATTAACAGCTCATCTGTATGAATTGCAGGTTTTTCACTTTGCAGAACTAAGTTGTTAGGGCTTTGGTACAATGATGTCAGCAATGTTTCTGGCTACAATGTCCAGGTCATTGATTGAAAGGGCAAGTTTAAAATGCAGCTTAGGTCATAAGAAAGTACAGTCATCCAAGTTGCACAACGGATGGAGTCGGGGCCGCTGGGTGACTTGGGCGTTGTTAGAACTCCTCTCGAGCCATTTCTTAGGAACTCTTCTTATTTATAAGCAATGAAACCTGCTTACTTGTTGTATGGTTATCTCCACTGTTTCCTGTATTTAATTTCTCTAGAATCAGTGTTTTGCAAAATGGATGGCTGGTATCGCTGAGTTCCATACTTCTGTTCTCACAGAGTTCACATCCGCTTGGCTTATCCTCAGGGATCACAAGGGTTTGATTTGGCATTTGCATAAACACTTCTCCAAAACATGGATTCGAGCCTCATTGAATGTGCAAAATGTCTTTGCAGAGAGAGGAGGGAAGGTGGGCTCATGGCCAGCTGAAGTGCTTAAATGGCTTGTTCAAGGTTTCTGAGGAAAAAGTGAGCACTGGGATCAGGGAAGGGTGATTCCTCTTGTAGCTGCTTCTTGTGCTCAGGGAGGTGTGAGTTCAGACTTCCATAGGGCAACTTTATGTCATGTTTGTAGCTCTAAGAATAAGATTTTTGTGATAACGCCATGATTTTTGTCAGGAGAGTAATGCCCAGGTTTATCAGGAGGTTTAATGATTTGTGTCGGAAAGCCACTTCCAGCAGTCTCACAGAAGTGTAAGACCTGATGGGGGTCAAGAGCACAGTGACACCAGGCCCCAGAAAACATTCTGCATTCAGTGCTGCCAGTGTGTTCTCTGAATGTAGACAGACAAGTGCAGGGTGGCCATGCCTGTAAGGGCCAGGAATGTGCTGAGAATTTAGGAAGAATCATATCCAAGCCATTCCCTGAGGGGAGACGTGATCCAGGCTCTTGGCAAAGAGTCAGCTGGGCTTGTGGCACGTACACTGCTTCAAAAAAGACTTTGCAAACAGTAAAGCTCTTGTGGTGTCCTGGTCGACAGAAGCTGCATGTGACGTTGGGCCGGGGTGGAAGGAGGATCCTGAGTGGGTGCAGGTTGTGCTCATTTTCAGGACTATTTGCTTAGAAGTGTTCAAGTTAAGGATCAGGGAGTTGTGGCAGTTGCTGTTTGAAAACCGCATTCTTTTTGGTGAAAAAAGAATGTGATAACGTTTTGGAGTGCAAAGAGGTGAATTTGCTCTATCAGTGGTCGAGAGGGTTTAACCTCACCATGTTGCCATCCTGACTGAAGCAGGACTGCAGATGTGCTTGGATTCATGGTGGAAGAAGGTCACCACGTCCTGTAGCACAGAATTTAAGCTCTGTTTTGGTTCCCTTTGCAGACTTGCCTGTCAATACCTGACATCAAGACAGCATTTAGTGACTGCATTAACAAAATTGGGAAGAGAGACTGCCTGACACAAGCCTGCTCGGCCCTCACTGGGTGAGTATGAGAATGGATGGAGTTTTTTGGTTGGTTGGGCAGCTGTGAGGTGTCACATACACACAACAGCACTACAGGATTTACTGAGTTATGAAAGGGAGCTGTGCTTCCTCCCACCACTGACAGATACTTGTTTGTGAACCTTGGACTTGCACCAGGTCAGTAACTTCATCCGTAAATCCTGTCTATGAAATCTGATGCAAATGTGCTCCTGGCTGAGAGCAGCAGGAGTTGGAGGCATATTTGTGGTCTTTTATCATCCCTTCTCCATATATAATCCTTGCAGACCTTGGCCAATTGAAGCCAATTGAAAATGCAGCTGTTGATACCACTGCCAGAGAAATGGGTGGTGCTTTGCTGCTGCTGCTGTAACTGTGCTGTTGCTTTCATGTTCTTTAGAAGTGCAGATGAGCTTTGTGATGTAGACAACATAACAGTCTCCAAGGTTGTTCTCCCATGGAGGTGCCTGTGATTTAAAATTAGATGACTAAAACAGACCTGCATAGCTGTATCCTGACCTTGACCAACCCACGTAGATTCTTGATATCCCAGTATCACTTTTACACATCAAATCTTGCAGTACTTTGGTTACACTTTCAGTTCTGTGAGTGAAAAGTGCTATTTGGCATAAGTTAAAAGGTCTGTCCCGGATGAGGGAAACACTCCTGGCTGGATGACTGCCTGTGCTGAATCCAGAGTTTTGAGATTTCTTCTCTTTTAAACGTAGCAAGAAATATGTATTATCATACAAACTAATTAACAAAACGTTCTTAAACCCTGAAAAAAAATCCTGTTGTCTGCATTGCTGCAAATCAAGTGCCATTAAGCAGATGAATGACCACAAGAACAATGGTTAAGCACTGACTGGAAGAGAATTCTTAGATAATAACCTTATGAAAAATAACCTTTTCAGTTGTGTCTTTTGTACAAACTCTTCTAGTTTTGATCTGTGTGGAATTCCCTTTCAAAATTTCACTTTGAGTTTGCACTAAAAAAATACTGAACTTGTGGAAGTCCTGGCTGGGAAGCTGTGCAGACCAGGATGTGGTGACCTGCTTGACAGCCCCAGCACAGATGGTTACGGAAAGCTGGAACCAGGATTACAAGATCTGATACAACTAGTATGAGGTTTGTGGCAAAATAACCTCAAACCAGCTATCACATGGGTTTGGTGCTTGTTCATCTCAAGGTTTCCGCAGAGTTGGTGATTAAATTGGATGTAGACTTGTACAGACACTAGGAAAATAAAGGATGGAATTTACCGAGTTAAAAGGAGTCAGATCCACATTGTCTGTCTGTGTGAGGAATAGCACAGTGATGCCAGTAAATAGCAGTGGAGCAGAGCCCTTCCCTTCCTCTTGCAGGAGCTCACTTGGAGCCTGCATGAGCCATATTTCTGTTCTTGGTTGCTTCTTGTTGTTGGTTTATTTTAAAACCTCATCTGCTTCTCTTATTTTCTTAGCAAAGGGGTAAATGAAGGGATTGAATGGATGGTGAAGTGTGTGGTGAGGAATATCCACCGACCCCCAAGAAAGAAGGACATCACGTAAGGAATTCCAAGACAGCCAAGGAATGGACAATCTTTTTCCACACAGTTTTGTGTTCCCTTTAAAGAAGGTGATCCACTGGATTCCTATTACACCTGATTCTTTCCTAAATTTGGAGACAAACATTCTCTTTCTGTGTCTAAAAAAAGAACTCGAGCCAAGGATTCCAACTGGGTGGGGGGTGGGAATCTCTTACATTAAGTGTTAAGGCCTGACAGCTTCCTATATAGTAACCTACACATCCTTGCAGAGGACTTAATTTTCTACTGTGTTACTTTGTGATTCCTGAATTTGTTAGTCTGACAGGCTGGAGGTCAGTGACATGAAGGAACTCCTGAAGGAAATGTGTAGGTGAATGTGGAAGGGAAGGAACAGCCTGGGGAATAGCTGTCCCTCCTGACTGAGAAGATCCCTTGCTGCTCCAGCCCCGTGGTTACTGCAGGGTGCCCCTGGCCCTGTTATGCTGCTGTTTGTGTGGTGGGAAGAGACAATGTTGATTAGAACCTGATTTTCAGTCGGTCTGATGATTTGTAGCTTTGCCCTGTGGTAAATGCAGACATGGAAGTCAGCAACTGCACAGTAGTCATGGAATCCTGGAATTGTTGAGGTTGAAAAAGACCTCTAAGATCATCAAACCCAACTGCACAGTGGTACACTGGTTAAGATGGGTATTCCTACCAGGACATGGACTTCAGAAGCACTGCCTTGCTCTGACTGCCAATCTCTGTGCATTCTCCTTCATCCTTAGAATAATTGGGATCTTCTGTAACTGGAATGAATCAAGGCCCTCTCTGTGATCTTAGGAGACCGAAAGCAGAACCGCTAGGCAGGGAGAAATCAGTATGCAATAAAGCTTCCTACTTCTTTGAACTTCTCTGTCTCAAACTAGTAATGTTTGGAAATAGCAGTACTTTAGCCCTCTAGTTTTTTGAAATGTAAGAAAGAAAAGCAACCTTCAAAGTCAAGCAGTTCTCTGTTCTTATGTAACCTTCTTAGCTAGGTCTGCTGATTTATCTCCAGCATTTCGCTGAATCTCTCTTTCTGCATGAATTTAATGGTGGTTTGGCAGCGGGTGTTGCTCTGTGCCTGTTCCAGTGACTCCTGACAGTGGTGATCATTCAGTGCTGTTTGCTCACATAATGAAGGGGCTGTTAATCAAACTGTACTTGAGCAAGTTATTTGTTTAAATTTATTATTAGTTGGCGTCTGTCAAAGAACTTTCTGCGAAATTTTCTGCGTGCAACTTTCTGCGGAGGTTTTTCTTTTTGAGAGAGAACATCAGTCACTCACTGACATTTGGGGTCAAAGCCCAAGGACAGATGGGCTGTGTCATTAAGCACATGAAGTTAGTGGAGATAATTGGAAACAGGAGAGCAGAATCTTACTGCTCAGTACAAGAAGTGATATTACTTCAGGTCACTAATTCTGACAATACAAGTCAGACCTAGTGACCCAGTCAGGTTTCCTGAGTGCTCTGTGAAGGTGGAGGATCCCTTGGAGGTCACTCACCCCCTGGAGGTGGTGACACTTTATCTGGGTGCTGCACGTAATGTAGGGCTGAGAGTTTCAAGCATACAGAAGTATTGGAGACCCAGTGGCCGTTGGTTGTCAGGGAATTATCTCTCACTGGGCTCTCTCCAAAAGCCTAAGTGGTTTCAAGGTGACTTTGTGGCCTTGGCTGTTTTGGTTATCAGGGTTGGTGCTGACAATTAGACTGAAGTTGTAAAACAGTAACTAGTGGACAAAAGTGCCTTGCTGAGAGACAAAACACTTCAGTGAAGTAGCTTGAAATGTCTGTTTAATGAGACACCAGGGGTTTTCCAAGCTTTCCACTACTCATCTCTGGTCTCTTGCTCTCCCTACTCCCTGGGAGACCAGGGAGGGAAAATCAGATTGTAGACACAGACTACTTTGTGGCACACATCTCTTAAATTAAAGCCAATGTTTGACCTCAGAATTCCAAGTTCTCAAGAGTGGGAGTGTCTTTCTCCCAGAGACAGGCCTGAGCTGCCACAGGTATTATAAGCATGCTCTGATAGCCATGATGGGGAGGATTTCAAGCAGCAGTGATAAGTTGGCTCTAATTCAGAGTGAGCTTCCAGAGCAGTACTCCAGCAGGTACCAGATGGGGGGGACAGATGCAGCTGCTCAACTCCCAAGGCCTCTTTGAGGAAAGAGCTTTGCAGTCAGGATTTTCCACCACTACAGATAAACAGTGTCAAAACATTTCCCAAGTGCTGGGGAAGCCCAGCAGGAAAACAATTAAGGCAATGGTTGGGTTGCTTTGGCATGTCCTCCATCCTGCAGCACAACTGCCATGAAGGAATTCTGCTTGATAAGTCGGCAAGCGTGAAACAAGATCTTGCTGTGCAAGCACAAGCTCCACTTGGGTCTCTGGTTACGCACAATGTGCAGTTGCCATAATGGAGCACAAAGTGCTGCTGTCAGATGGGGTTTTTGGTTGCATCTGCTCTCTCTGGTCATAAATGGCTACACGAGGACACTTGTGGCTTCCTCCTTCAGCTGGTTTTATTGCAGCTTCAGTCTCTGTGAGTTGATCGGTTCTGCTAGCGATGCCTCAGCACAGACTGATGGAACAGGAGTGAATTGACATGGAAGAGTATTTGGAGAAAAGAGCGGGTGTCACAGTATCAATCAGATTGGAAAAGACCTCTGAGACCATCAGGTCCAGCCACCATGTCAACTAGACCATGGCACTGAGTGCCACATTTAGTCTCTAAGGATGGTGACTCCACCACCTCCCTATACAGCCCATTCCAGTGTCCTTTCTGTGAAGACATTCTTCCTAAATTAAGGTAGGCAATGCACAAGCCTCACTGAAAAAAAATCCCCAGTGGGATAGTCTAAGATGATATGCTGATAACTATTTTATATTTTGACCAGAAATGTAGTCAGTAATTTTTCACATTTTAGACTTACAGGAAGCACAGACTTATTTAAAATGCTTTTTCATTTCCAGTTACCCCCTGCCACACCTCAGGCAAAGCAAGGACGTTCAAATGCCATCAGTTTGTCAGATTTCTGATGTTTGTGCTGTACCTATTTGCCCGTGCCTGCTCACAGCAATATATTTCTCTCAAGAGCTGCTTTATCTTCCCAAGGTGAAACAGATTCATCATCTGTTTTAGTGTGCTGTACATGAGATAAAGGGGTCTAATAACCACAGCATTGACTCCACTTGCCTTATTTGAACGTTGGCAGATGATTGCATTTCTCTCACTCATCTGGAATTTCCTACGCAAACGTTAATTTGCTGACAGCAGCAGGAGGCAAGAGCGACAAAAACCCTTCTAAGGTTTTTAGAATCCCAGTGAATCTGTGAATCTCAATGCTGTCTGTGAGCTATCTGCTCATCTTTATTTGGAACTCTGGAAAGACACAGAAGAACGAGTTAGCACTTTTGGCTGGTACAGCCTCATCCTGTCCCATCCTTGTGCAAGGCAGCAGTGACATGTGGCCTGAAGATCTGCGTCTTGGCCGTGCTGATGTCAGGTTGTTCTGCTTGCTGGGACATCCCATCCCACAGAGCCAGGGGAAATACCAGGTCAAATCAGACACAGCTTCATGCTAAGTCCAACATCTGAGTCCAGGCTCTGGCCAGTAACATCTGTCTCAGAGCAAGGTGAAGCAAGCAGAGGCAGGTCTGGGGTCTGTCTCCCTGAGCATCCTTCCTACTCTGCTAAACTGGAATCAACTCATCATAAAGAAATGGACTTACTAGCCAGAGCTGTAGGTGGTTTTATTACTAGTTGAGCTACTTTTAGTTTCTTCCTTATCATCCTATTTCTGTACTGTTGACGCATCCTGTAACATCATTGGCACACGTCCAGCACATCCATCAGTTTGTTTATGGAAAGGATCTGTTGTTACACATACACATCACAATCTCCAGCAAGTCTCCTCTCAGCCAGGCAGAAAGGGACCTGGGAGTGTGGATAGATAGAAAGCTGAACATGAGCCAGCAGTGTGCTCAGGTGGCCAAGAAGGCCAATGGCATCCTGGGCTGGATCAGGAACAGTGTGGTCAGCAGGACCAGGGAGGTGATTCTGCCCCTGCACTCAGTGCTCGTGAGGACACACCTTTAATACTGTGTACAGTTCTGGGCCCCTCAGTTCAGGAGGGATATTGAGGTGCTGGAGCAGGTCCAGAGAAGAGCAACAAGGCTGGTGAAGAGACTCGAGCACAAGTGCCATGAGGAGAGGCTGAGGGAGCTGGGGGTGTTCAGCCTGGAGAAGAGGAGGCTCAGGGGAGACCTTATCACCCTCTAGAAGTCCCTGAAAGGAGGTTGGAGTCAGGTGGGGGTTGATCTCTTCTCCCAGGCAACCAGCAGCAGGACAAGAGGGCACAGACTCAAGTTCTGCCAGGGGAGGGTTAGGTTGGATATTAGGAAGAGATTTTTTACAGAGAGAATGCTCAGGCATTGGAATGTGCTGCCCAGGGAGGTGGTGGTTTCACCATCCCTGGAGGTTTTCAAGATGAGACTGGATGTGGCACTTAGTGCCATGGTCTAGTAACCACAGTAGGGTTGGACTTTATGATCCTTGAGGTCTCTTCCAACCAGGTTGATTCTATGATTCCTCAGCAGTGATGTTTCAGCTGTGCAGGAGACAGTTGGGTTAATCATGATTTCCAGGAGTGTGTGCTTGTGATTAACTACGAGCTACCAGTATGGGTCTGGAAAATATAAGGTAACAATATTCCTCAGCTGAAACCTGCATTAAAGTACTTGGAGGGTTCTCAGTTGGTCTAGTCATGTCATTATTTTTTAGAACAGTATCCTGGGATGTCTCTGCTGGCAGGTGGTGTTAGTTCAAGAAGAGAACTTCTGTAGGGACCTGCAAAGAAAGGCAAAGAGTGCTACTGTCACTGCTCCTGAAAATTATCCCTTTCAATTAAAAAATGTGGTTAATGTCGGTGGTAACTGCCTGGCAGTGTCCACACATGAAGGACAGTCAGCTCTGCCTCTGCATCCAGCTCTGCTGCTGCTCCTCAGCCTTTACCCACAGCAGAGTTTACCTGCAGCCTCGGGGGCTGTTTTCAGACTTGTATTTGTCTACAGGTCTCCCCAAAGCCATTTGGACCATCA